AATAAAATATAGTCTAGGCCGCCCTGGGGTTGAACCAGGCACCTCGCCCTTATCAGGGGCGTGCTCTACCGCTGAGCTAACAGCCCTTTTGTTTACTTACTTTACTAACTAGCGCTTAGCTATCTTCCCAGTAATTTTACTTAAAAGTATTGTTGCCTTTAACTTTTTTCACAATTTTTATACTAAAAAAGTGGGTCAAAGTTTATACTAGCGGCCAGTAGTGTGTGTACTATTTATTAGTATATTATCCAGCCGCACCTTCCAGTACAGCTACCTTGTTACGACTTCACCCCAGTTACTAATTCTTATTTATTTTCTTAAACAGAAGTTTCAATAATAATTAATTCCCATGGTGTGACGGGCGGTGTGTACAAGGCCCGATGACTTATTCACCGCCGTAAGGCTGACCGGCGATTACTAGCGATTCCAGCTTCACATAAATAACTTTCAATTTATGTTCCGAACTACGAATGGTTTTATTAATATAATTAAATCTATTTTCTCAAATAAAAATAAAAAATTTTTTTAAATTTTTTATATTCAATTTATTGTACCATCCATTGTAGCACGTGTATAGCCCAGAACATAAAGGGCATGAGGACTTGACGTTTTCCATTCCTTCCTCCTTATTTTTATATAGACAAATATAGGCAGTTTTTAAAGATAGTTAACTTTAAATAAGGGCTACGCTCGTTGCGGGACTTAACCCAACATCTCACGACACGAGCTGACGACAGCCATGCACCTCCTGTAGATGTACTTATAAAAATTTATTAAATTTTTAAAAACATATATATCAAGTTCTGGTAAGGTTCTTCGCGTTACATCGAATTAAACCACATGCTCCACCGCTTGTGCGGGCCCCCGTCAATTCCTTTGAGTTTCACTCTTGCGAGCGTACTACTCAGGCGGGATACTTAACGCGTTAGCTAAGGAACTAAATATTAATTATATTTAATTCCGAGTATCCATAGTTTACAGTTAAGACTACTGGGGTATCTAATCCCATTCGCTACCTTAACTTTCGTATCTCAGCGTCAGTGCTGCTCCAGTAAAATGCCTTCGCTTTTGGTCTTCTTTTTTGTATCTTTGCATTTCACTACTACTCAAAAAATTCCTTTTACCCCTAACAGACTCTAGTTTAATAATTTTTTTAATAAAAAACAAATATATAGTTTTTTTTAAATAAAAATATATTAAAACCACCTACATACGCTTTACGCCCAGTAATTCCGGATAACGCTTGTATCCCCCGTTTTACCGCGGCTGCTGGCACGGAGTTTGCCGATACTTTATTTATTTAAGTGTCAATATTCACTTTGAAATAAAAGAAGTTTACAACTGTATTAAGCTGTCTTCCTCCACGTGACGACGCTCTGTCAAGCTTGCGCTCATTGCAGAATATTCCCCACTGCAGCCTCCCGTAGGAGTTTGGACTGTATTTCAATTCCAATGTGACTGATCCCCCTCTCAGGGCAGCTACCGATCTTCGCCTTAGTAAATTATTATTTTACTAACTAGCTAATCAGATATGAACTTTTTTTTAGACAGTATTAACTTTTTAAAGCACAAATGCGCATATCAGAGATTAACCCTAAGTTATTAGGGATACTTCTAATCTAAACTTAAATTTTCATATATTACTCACCAATTCACTATAGTTTTATATAGTAACTATTAAATTTGCATGTGTTAGGCACGTCTCTTGCGTTTTTCCTGAGCCAGGATCAAACTCATTTAGTACAAAAATTATATATATAATATACATTTAAGGAATATTTTTTAATTGGAAATAAGCAGACTCGAACTGCTAACTTTTTCTTTGCAAAAGAACTATTCTACCCTTGAATTATATTCCCCCTCTATATCTATATATGTATAAATACTTCCTCAGTAGCTCAGTGGTCAGAGCTTTCGGCTGTTAACCGAAAAGTCGCTGGTTCGATCCCAGCCTGTGGAGTTTTTACGGAAGGAGAGATTTGAACTCTCATAGAAATTTCTATTAGATCCTAAATCTAACGCGTATACCCTTTCGCCACTTCCGTATATAAACCTAGTAGGACTTGAACCTACATTAAAAACTTAGAAGGTTTTTATCTTTTCCAAATTAAATGATAGGTTTAATATGGATGGGTAGTGTTAGAATCGAACCAACAACTTTATACTCGTAAGGTATATACTCTACCATTGAGTTAACTACCCTATTATTATAATAGGGGAGGCCAATAGCTCAGTTGGAAGAGCATGTGGCTACGGACCACAAGAGCGTGGGTTCAAATCCCTCTTGGCTTTTACAAAATAAAACGGAGTAGAGCAGTTTGGTAGCTCGTCGGGCTCATGATCCGAAGGTCAACGGTTCAAATCCGTTCTCCGTTTTTAATTTAAGTATTTATAGTTTAAATATAAATTAATATATTTATATAAGATAAAAAAGAATACCTTGATACTTGAAGACGAAGAAAGACGTTTATTACGAAAATACTTTAAATAGCAGCAATGCAATAAATTAAAGATTTCTGAATGGGAGTACCTTATATTTTTCTAAAAAAAAGAAAACTTGGAGAACTGAACCATCTTAGTATCCAAAGGAAAAAAATTAACAAAAATTCCCAAAGTAGTGGCGAGCGAAAAGGGAGTATAAACATATATATGTTTATTTATTATTAGTAAATTAGAATATAATTCTGATTGAAGTTAACAAGAACCTCCTTGAAAAATAAAATACTTCAAAGTAATCAATAGTGAACTAGTACCGTAAGGGAAAGGTGAAAAGATCCCCGTAAGGGAAGTGAAAAGAACATGAAATTTTTTATCTTACAATCTATAGAAGGATTAAAGAATCTAACTATATGCCTGTTGAAGAAGGAGCTGACGAGTCTTAATTATTTTAAGCATTTGGTTAAATTTAATTAATTGAAGCCAGAGTTAACGCGAGTTATTATTAAATAATAACAATTGTTTATAATTAAGAACCCGAACCCGAATGAATTAATCTTGTCCAGAATGAAATATAGAGAAGTCTATATAGAGGTTCGAACTGGTTGATATTGCAAAATCATCAGATGAGATGAGATTAGAGGTGAAATGCTTATCGAATTCGGAGCTAGCTGGTTCTCCTCGAAATGCGTTGAGGCGCAGCTATTACTATTATATAATTAAGGTGGTAAAGCACTATATATAATACATATTATATATAATATACATTATATATAAACTAATAATACCTATTATAGTTTAAAGTAATAAGTGAGACTATTGGGGAAAATCTCAATAGTCTAAAGGGAAACAACCCACACCATAAGTTAAAGTTTTTAAAAAGTATTTAAAACAAAAGGTACTTTAATTTCAGTTATATTTAAGAGGTTAGCTTAGAAGCAGCTATCCTTTAAAAAGTGCGTAATAGCTTGTTAAATTAGAAATTATGCACTAAAAATGAAAGAAAAAAAATACTTTACTGAAGCTATGGGATTTATTTTTAAATCGATAGAGGAGCGTTCTATATTTTAGAAGCAAAAATGTAAATTTTTGTGGAGATAATAGAAGTGAGAATGTCAGCTTAAGTAGCATAAATATTAGTAAAAAATCTAATACTCCGAAAGCTAAAGGTTTTCTACGAAAGGATATACCACGTAGATAAAGTCAGGGCCTAAAATTAGATTTAATATGTACTTGATGGGTAAAAGGTTAAAATTCCTTTACCATAATATATATATACAAATAGTGACCTATTATATATAATATATATTTTAAGAAATAGTTACTTAATATATGTTTATTATATAGCTAGAAAAATGTATCTGTTTTATATATATTATGCCTGTACTAAAACTGACACAAGTAAGCAAGTATATATATACTAAGGAGTACGAAATAACTTTTTCTAAGGAACTCGGCAAAATAATCCTGTAACTTCGGGAGAAAGGATGCCCAAAGGGCTGCAATAAAAAGATCCAAGCGACTGTTTATCAAAAACACAGGTCTCCGCTAAGTTTAATCACAATGTAAGGGGGCTGACACCTGCCCAGTGCTGGTAAGTTAAAAAAAATATTTTTTATCCAAGTATTTTTATAAGCTCCAGTAAACGGCGGCTGTAACTATAACGGTCCAAAGGTAGCGAAATTCCTTGTCGGGTAAGTTCCGACCTGCACGAAAGGTGTAACGACTTGGATGCTGTCTTAGAAAAAGATTCGGTGAAATAGGAATGTCTGTGAAGATACGGACTATCTACATCTGGACAGAAAGACCCTATGAAGCTTTACTATATTTTGAAATTAAAAATAAAATATATTTGTGTAGAATAAGTGGGAAATTAATTAATTTATCTTGAAATACCACTCTTTTATATTTTATTTTTTTATTAAAATATTGTTAACCAATTTTAAAAAAATTTTAAAAAGGTAGTTTGACTGGGGCGGTAACCTCCTAAAAAGCAACGGAGGTGTACAAAGGTCTTTTTTTAATTTAAATTTTTTTTTAAATTAAAACTATAAAGGGTATAAGGCTTGATTGTAAGAGTTACCACTCGAACAAGGACGAAAGTCGGTCTTAATGATCCGACAGTTCTTTGTGGAAAGGCTGTCGCTTAACGAATAAAAGTTACTCTAGGGATAACAGGCTGATCTCCCCCGAAAGTTCCTATCGACGGGGAGGGTTGGCACCTCGATGTCGGCTCGTCGCATCCTGAGGCTGAAGTAGGTCTCAAGGGTTGGTCTGTTCGCCCATTAAAGCGGCACGTGAGCTGGGTTCAGAACGTCGTGAGACAGTTCGGTCCATATCCGATGTAGACATAAGAACATTGAAAAGTTTTTCTTTTAGTACGAGAGGACCAAAGAAATTAAACCTATGGTGTATTAGTTATTTTACTAAAAGTAGTCGCTAAGTAGCCAAGTTTAATATATTTTAATCACTGAAACCATATAAGTGAGAAAATTACTTTAAGATAAATGTTCTTTTCTAATTAGAGTAAGACAACAAATAGATAATTTGATAAAAAGAAAAAATGTATACAATTAGTAATAATTTTAGCATTTTTTTACTAAAACTTCGAGAATATATTTTTGCTGATATAGCTCAAAGGTAGAGCCACTGACTTGTAATCAGAAGGTTGGGGGTTCGATTCCCTTTATCAGTTTATTTTGAAAATTAAAATATTTATATTATATTTATTTTATAAAAAAATGTTACGTTATTTAGGCCCTAAGTTAAAAAAATTAAAACAATTTAATATACATATGCATCCAGGT